TTGTTTGTCTGAAAGTAGATTGTCACAAAGGGGTGCATCTAGGGGGAAGGTTGGGAGGAAGGCAGTTTTGCTTGTGATTGAATGGGTCTTATAGGGTCATACATTGTTTCTAAGATGAATGGTCTGACTGCTATGGTTTGTTTTGTTTTCTGAAGGACCAAGCATTGTTTCTAAGATGAATGGCTTGGTTGCTGTGTTTCTTTAATTGTGCCAGACATTGTTTCTAAGATGAATGGCCTGGCTACTTATTTCTGAGGGATATTGCTTGTTTGACTTTTGAGGGTCAGACATTGTTTCTAAGATGAATGGTCTGGCCGCTGTTTACTTGGGAGGTTTCTGAACACTCTCTGGGTCAGACCCAGGGTACTCTGTTTTTTTTGTGTGCTGAAAAAAGGAGAGCTGAGCATTGTTTCTAAGATGAATGACTCATCTCTCCTTGATTGTTTTATTCTGAGGGAGGATTCGGGGCCAGAGGACTAGACATTGTTTCTAAGATGAATGGTCTAAGTCTAAGGCCTCAGGACCATAATGAGAAGAAAGGAATAGGATTTTGTATAATATTGTATATATATGTACTTATATACGAACAGGGCTAGTCAGGCATTGTTTCTAAGATGAATGGTCTGACTATAGCCCTATCACAAGCGAAGAGAGTATAATCGAGAACTATAACTGAAAGTAACCTTGGCAGGCTGAGCATTGTTTCTAAGATGAATGGCTCAGCCCTACGCCCTCCTTTTGAAGACTAAGGTGCAGAAAGTATATATACTTGGCTATTTAAACAGCTCAAGGCGACTAAGCATGGTTTCTAAGATAAATGGCTTAGTCACATGCCCAACGAAGAGAAAAGTAGTTATACAACCTGTTCGTGTATAACTAAGGCAGAGAGCTGACATTGTTTCTAAGATGAATGGTCGGTCCCAATGCCCTATGTACGCAGGGTATAAACGGGGTTAAAACACTGAAAGACTATGAACTAAGGTTTGCTTAAGTCAACCTGGGGTTGGTGAGAGTACTTACTTTTGTGGTTTGGCTTGCATGTGGCTGAGTGGCATCGCTACCTGGTCTTAGTTTAAGTTGATAGGTAGTTGCTGTAGTGGCTCGCTACGTGCTAGAGCTATAGGAGTTAGATTCAATTTTTGCATTTTCTAAGATAACTTTTTTTTACTTAGTCTATATTCTGCTTTTATCTGAGGTCTTTCTTATACTTGGACTGATATAAATCTTGGTAAGCCACTATTCCTACGGGAAGCGCTGCCGAAATTTCTGCAAATCCAAGGAGTTAGTCAAATTTAGACTTTTAAGAGTTCAGCTTGTCTTAGTTACATATATTGCCTAGTAGAAATCTGGAAAGCCTCCCTTTCTAAAGGGAGTGCTGCCCAAATTTTTGTTAGTTCAGGGAGTTAGACAAAATTGAGCTTTAGTAAGTCAAAGGCTACTCCTGTTTTTATATTCAGGCTTATATAAATTCTGGAAATATAGTTTTCCTACGGGAAGCGCTGTAAATTTTCTTAGTTTAAAGGAGTTAGATTATATTATGACAGATGGCAGAGTTGGCAGTCCACTCTGTACAGGGGAAACCCAACGAAAGTTCTACCTTTTCTTTGAGCCCTGACTAAGGACTAGGCTCAGACCTAGTTGGCTACCAGAAGGTTAGATGGGACCGCCATATAGAAGATAGTTCGCATAAGGATTACAGGTTTAGTCTTGGGTGTTGACCTGTCTTATATTACAGGCCGGCTTGATCAATCTGATTCAGGACTTGGGCTAGTTCAGCTTGATCCTACCAGGATCCTCATCTGTTTTCACTGATAACAGGTCGGTTGCCGATTCATCGGTCTTCGACTCAACCTCAACTCGCTTTCAATACTCAACCTTAAAAGGCTTTAGCCCTGGTGATCTTCTGTTTCATTAAGGTTTTACCCGGACTTTAATTGAATGGCCATTTAACAAAGGTACTGAGTATTTAATTGAGGTTGGTTGGCTGGAGGTTGGGGCTTGCATGGCTAAAGCGAGGGGTATGAGTATAGGAACTGGTTGGAGTTGACTCCGCGTAGTGTGTAGACTCTTGTTTGACTTTGATGTGATTGCAGGAATGTTCAGTGACTTGGGGTTCTGATTGGACTGCCTTGCGGTCGCACATATATGTATGGCTAGGAGGAAACCCACTATGATTGTGAGAAGTGATCGTCACATAATTATTCCCCTTGTACATATGTATGTGCTAGTGCATGTGTACCTACGTGTGGAATTAGCGTGGCCTGAAGTGCCCACGTACTAAGGGTCAGTCGAAGGTTGGGGTGAATAGAAGGGAGGGGATATCCCCTGCCAATTCTCGCTTCTTTTCCTTGTTGCGATTTATCTTGGTGGAACGATAAAGTTTCGTGCGGAAGGGTCAACGTGTTGCTGGTGATGCGCCAAACAACTCACCACCACTCCAAACTCCCTCCTGCCCTAGGGTCCGTCTTGCCCCGCACCCGTTGGGACACCTCAGGGTGCAGAAGGCGGGAAGGCCCTCAGGTTGATTTTGCGCCAGCTAAAGGGTTAGCCCCTTTGGCTCGCGCTTCAGCCAACGCCTGAGCGTCGAAGGTGACCCCTTGGCTCAGGATAGGCCGTTTGGGTATGGGCACTACGTAATGCGCCGTCATTGCAGCTACTCGCGTAGTGCTGCATAACGAGATAGTATGTGTAAGTCCAGCGCCCTCGCGAGCTTATACTAAGTTCGCGCGCGCGACACTCGTCGCATTCCGCACTAAAAGAGTTATGGGTCACGAGCGCGACACGGCCAATAAACTTGGGATTTTTTTTGTAACGTGAAGCGACACGTGGGCGGAGGACTGGTCCCAGTCGGCCTATGGGAGTCCGTGTACGGGCCTTATTATCCCGGACGCCGGGTGGCCTATGGGTAGGATAACGGGCCTCCTCCGCGCGCACGTCGTGTGGGCTTGTCCACCCCCTTCCATTTTAGAGGGCCATCATCTATTGAGAAATGGATTGAGTTTCCTTTTTGCGTTTCATGGTTGGACGTTATAGTCCATGGCGGCCGTCAAAGTCAAACCCCTTGATGTTTGACCGCCACGACAGCTTAAAGTTGTCTACTCAACCCCTTTGCATAGGGTGCAGAAGAGGGTGTGGTCTTCAACCGCGCATGGCGGTTGTCCAGCGTCGAGAGATTAGCCCTCAAGGCGCGTGTCAGCCGACACTTGAGTGTCGAATGCGACCCTCGAGATTAACGAGGACCGCGCGAGCGTGGGTATTACATAGTGCCCCATCATTGCGACTGCTTGCGTGCGTTTGCATTGCGAGTCGATATGGCTTAGCCCTGCGTCCGCGCGGTTTTATATTAAGTCTCGCGCACGACGCCTCTCCGATTCCCGCGTCGGAAAGTTATGGGTTGGCTACCGAGGGGCTAGGAGCGTTGTCGCGTTGTTTGTATTGTGTCGTTTCGCGCGTGTGTGTGTGTGTTTTATTTTTGTGTTCGTAAGGTGGTCCGCGCGTGGTGTGTGGGATGAGTCCTAGCCGACCGACGTCGCGCCGCGCTTGGGACTTCAGCCCCCCAAGATGTCGGTTCGCGTGCGGGTCCGATAGGCGTGTTACCGCGCGTACCCCCTATGCTACAGCGAACGAGAAATGCCCTCGGCTGGTCCACCTCTGCGATTGCAACCGAGTAGCTTTCGTACTGTGGACTGGTAGCTCGGCGGGGATACGCCCACCGAAGGGAGGTGACAGCTCCCGTAAGGTAGAAGTAAGTCGTGCCTCGCGTAGGCCCTATCCTGTCATAGGGGTTCGCGAGAGGTATGGCTGGCGCACTCGGCCGGAGCGGCCTAAGGAAGCTCCATTTGTGTGTTCGCGACAAAGTTAGTCCAACTCCTACGTGACGCGGCCGAGAGGGTCCCGCGCTGCCACGCGCGGTGCCGGACCTATGCGCTCGACAACGGACATCGCCCTAATTGCCACCTTGGTAGGAAACCCCCTCCAGGATTTCACTAAGGAAGACCGGAGGAGGGCCAATAAAAGGGCTCGGGATTATCGTTGGAACAAGGGCCGGTTAGAAAAACGGACGACGGATAGTAGCGGGATTTTGATGGTAGTGCCGCACCCGTTCATGAGGTATGACTGGGTTAAGACGGCGCATGAAGAAATTGCAGCCCATTTTGCCGTACGGATCACGGAAGCGGCAATCGATAAGAACGAATTGTATTGATCCAATATTCGCGATGATGAGAAATTCATCGTCGCGAATTGTTAGGTCTGCGCTGCTGACAAGGCGCCAATCTAGCTGCCAAGAGGCATATCCGTGTCGTACGCGATAAGCAGCTGAAATCGCGTGATACGTCAACCGGTTTCTAGGGATGCACCAGGACACAGAGGAAATCCTAACCGACAATGGGGTAGAATTCAAAGGGGAAGTTTTAAGGAATCTGGTCGTACATGACGTCGCTATTCGGAATACTGCACCCCATATGTCACAATCTAAGGGCCTAGTAGAAAGCGCAAATCGAGTGATAAAGACAGCGTTGCGACGAAACATCGCGGCACGAGATCCGAGGCCCTGGCCCGATATCGTAGATCACATCTTGGCGGTCCATCGGGGAACGCCTCACGAATCGACGGGGCTTAGCCCCTTCCAATTACGAACCAATAGCGTAGCTTGTGTCTCGATACCGAGCCTCCCCGATGAATCTTCATTAAACCGACGACCCACAAGAGCCACGGTTCGGGACAAGGCCAAACGACACCTAGAGCTGATGGAACGGTCCCTTCCGCGATTAGCCCGAAAGCGCCAGAAAATGACTAAGTTGGCCCATGGCCGGCAAGTCCGTAGCTACGAGGCCCGAAATGGGAATGCAGGACAACGGCCCCAGTATAAATTAGGGGACCTGGTGCAGGTGAGGAAATGTGCTCGCCAAGGGAAGATAGCGCCACGATTCTTCGGTCGATTTTGTGTGATCGAACTTGATCCGAACCGAGTGAACACCGTGCTCGTGCCGGAGGTCTCGGGAAGCCGATCGACTCGACCGATCATACGCCACGTGTCCTATCTTTGTCCTCTCCCTTCCTCTCCATCTCCATCTGTGTCTGCTTCCTCCTTCGCTACGGAAGAGGAAGACGACTCCTTATCGCTCTCATCCCCTCCTGCTTCTCCTACTCCGTCCTCATCACCATCGCTATGAGTTTTCTCACTGAGCGGGCTCTCGACGATCACATGCTGGCGCCACGTGGCGACATCTCGACAATTCGACAGGTTCATCATCCGCGATTCAGTCTGGGCCGGGACCTCCTACGGCTCGCGCAGTTCTTCAGCACTGTCGGGGTACATGCAGCGGCAGAGTTCCGATTCGCCGGCCATCATCAAGCGATCGTACTGGTAGAGGCGACGACGGTTCGACGACTGTCAGCACCAGGAGTTAGCCACGTATCCACAGTGGTCATCGTCAGCGGTGAGATTAGCGCGATCATCCCTCTGCGACACACGCCCATCCGGACGTCGCTAAGGGAGTGGGGACAGCGGCTGGCAGGAGAATGGAATCAGTGGCTTACGCGTCGTGACGATAATCTTGTCCCCGTGGACGACATCGACGTCGGACGACTCCGGACGTCTCAACACGAGTCCACGGTGGTGCTTCCTGAGCTCGTCCCTTTCCAGCGTCCCCAATGAACCGATCCCGACTCTCTACCTTCGCTCTCCCCTCTATCTTCCCTACCTTCTGGCAGTCTGACCTTTACCCCCGTCTCTCCTTCCGTCTGGAACCACTTGCCGTTCCGCTTCTCGATCGAAGACAGTGGGAACGGTGGTGCGAACATTTCGTCAATCTTTCAGTGTGTCTGGTCGGAGTGCAGCTAATGTGGACAAGGGACGCAGAACACCGCGCTTGGGTCGCATACGTGAAGCTGTTAATTATCCAAGCGTGGAGGACGGAGGTGGAAGGAGACCATCTCGGATTCTATTCGGACCGGTGCATCCCAACTATCGACAACAGATCATACAGGAACTCACGATTCCCCTCGCGTAGCTGGTTGACGATCTCCCTCTCGATATCATCTCGCAGAGCGATGAGAGCCCGGTCCCGCACGTCTTTTCACAGGCTTTGACACCCTACCTGCAGTGGTCGACTTGCCTCGAGGAGTTAGAGGGCAACAACAACCCACCATCGCAACAACCATACCTGGATCCCCAGGGGATAATCGACCTCGCTTTCTTTCAGCCTCGAACGGCCTCCGAAGATGAAGCGATAGCACTAGAGGAAGAGGAGGAAGAGGATGAGGAGGGAAGCGAAGAAGAAGAAGAAACCCCGGAAGAGGGAAGTTACAGCGAGCACAGCGAGGGAGAGCAGAGCGACGACGAAGAAGAAGAAGGCGACGAAGAAGAAGACGAGGAGGAAGAAGAGGAATCTGAGTGGGAAACCCTGGGAGAAGAGGCGGATCGCGTGGAAGGCGCGGAGGAGGATCCCGAGGCGGTGAGGAAGAGGGAAGAAATCGCCGCCGGCAAGCAGCAGCTGGAGTACGCAAGTGAGGCGGATCTGCCAATCTCAAACGATCTTGCTAAGGATCCGGAGCCGCCTAAGCCAGAAGATGGGGACCTTGCTGCCGAGACTTCGAGCGCACCGGCCAAGCGACGGCGAAGCCGATCCCCCTCCCCCTCCACCTCAGCCCGTCCACCAGTTCGACCTCGTACCGATGCGGGGCATCGGGCTTCGTCCCCGGTCCTTATCCCGTCGTCCCCTTGACCACCTAACCCTCCGCCAGATCACTACCCTCATCACCTTCCCCAACAATCCCTTCCCAATCGACACCTTCCGCTTCTTCAACGCCACCCGTCTTGCTGTCATGGTTCATCCCCATCCTTCTACCCGGTGTATTGTCCCTGCCTTTTGTCTCCACGCCCTTCTCTTCAGCGCCGCGTGGCGAGGTCACAACATGGTCGAAGTTTATTTCATGATCACGGGGACTATCCCCACGTGAGAAAACCACGATCACTTCCACACGGCGCTTCTCCGAACTTTCACCACCCTTTACCCCGACTATGTCGCCTCCCTCCCTCATAGTGGTAATCAATTCCCTCGCTTCCACCGGATCGTCCGATATCAGGAGCTTCCGGAGACAGTCCCGGGGTGGGAACGCTTTCTACCCCCACTCCCGACTAACTCACCCCCTCGCCATGCCCCCATGTATCGTCTTCCCTTTCCCCTTCCCTTAGGACATTGATGTACGGTTGATTAGCACGTGCCACTGCGACGGCACGCACAATCCCCTCCTCGGACTGAAGAGAGCCCATCATGAGGAAAACTATAGGAAATAGCCACGTGGCCGCCCCCAAAACAGACGGATCGGACGGCCTTGGATGCACCGCGCATGCCATCTGCCTTATGCTGCACGACATCGAACGCCAACAGACCGAAAGTAACCCGCCCCTTTAGCTCTATTGCATCTATGCCCCTGAAACTTTGCCACAGGAGATCTCAGTTCCGACCTGGGACTCCACCCCCACTTTCCCAAAAATCCTTGGCACACCCCTTTTTGCACTTCCAGGCCCACATTCCACTCCGATCAAGAAGTCGCGTCGGGAGTGAGGTTGAGCGTCACATTGGCTTGGTAACGCTCGGTATGATGACAGTCGCTACACAAAGTGTTAGGCCAATGAGGTGCCACTGCCGCCCACGGGATGACAATCAACTCATTAAACGGCAACAACAATGAATAAGGCGGAAAATGCGTATTGATAATGACGAATCCCGCACCAACGAATCCAGAGCACCGGGTCTCAGGTGGAAAGTAATAATGCCCACCGATCTTGGCGACGACTTCTCGTACGGCCCACTCGCATACACATGTCCTTTCCTCGTTGTACAGGAAGGGGCGTGACGGAGGTAAGGGATGTCGGCGTACCGTCGGATTGGGGCGATCGGTCCACATGGCAAAAGGGCAAAGCACAAGATTCTTCCTTATCATGTATCTTTCATTCGGTCAATCCAATCCCGCATTCCATCAGATCCATCTACATGCTCACAAAAGTCCTCAGGCGCAATCCACTGCATGCAAGTGTCAAAGTAGGAGGAGAGAGATCATCATAATTCATCCATTGCAGCAGAAATATAATAGCAAGGAGGTGCAAGGGAGGCGAGACATTAATCAGAAGAGAGAAAAAGGAAGAAGATAATTACACACGAAAAGTCTGATGACCTTGTCGGAGGATCCTGGCTCAAATGTCGGGTGAACGGAACTCACGCTCGACGACTTATACTTTGAGACAAAAGAGGCGCATCCACCATAAAATTTAACCGATGCCCTAGGCCATTCATCCACTCGACCTTTGATTCGAACCTCACACCGACACTAACGATCCCGGCCGTTGTCAGAAGATGTTGCAGCGCAGCAGCGAAAATTGACTCGCCGCGGTCAACTTCCACATTGCGTCAGAAATTATGTACCGTAGTCATGGACCCTAGTACTTCAGTTAGACTTCCCCTGGACCGAAGCCGAGGGAAGAGCGGCGCGACGGTACGATCCTCTAGAGGCCTAATCGTCCCCGTTGGACTGGACGGACGCGGCTGCAATGAATCAATTAGTGGGGTCCGGTCCAAACGGCACTTGAAACGGACTAAGGGTCAGCGAGATATTCAACTTCCGCGCTGCGTCAGAAATTGTGTACCGTAGTCATGGCCCTAGTACTTCAGTTAGATTTCCCTTGGACCGAAGCCGAGGGAAGAGCGGCGCGACGGTACGATCCTCTAGAGGCCTAATCGTCCCCGTTCGACTGGACTGACGCGGCTGCAATGAATCAATTAGTGGGGTCCGGTCCAAACGGCACTTGAAACGGACCAAGGGTCAGCGAGATATTCAAGTTTGACCGGTTGGGACCGGACCGACACGACCGCGTAGCCCGGCCAGGAAAAGAATAGCCCTAAGTAGCCATACAGATGAGCAGCCAGACCCAAATAATTAAAATAGGGTTATGTACTATTTTTAGCTCGGGACTGACTGTTCGTTTCCCAAAGTCTGGCCTGCGCCAGTCCCTTTCTAAAAATAGCCCAGCCCCACGCTATTTTTAGCATGGGACTGACTGTTCATCTACCGGGAACTGGGTCTGCGCCAGTCCCGTTCTAAAAATAGGACTGACTGTTCATATCCCGGGGTCGTGACTGCTGCTATTTTTAGCACAGGCCCGGACTAGAGTTTGACCGCAGCCCCGACCATGGGACTGCACCACAGCCCCGACCTCTTGGCCTCTCCATTATAAAAGAGAGGCCACGTCACCCAACAACAACACGAAAGAGATCAGTATGCGTGACACACGTGGCACGGATCGGGCAGCGTGACTGAACCCTCACTTTGTGGAAGCACTGCAGCATTGACAGAACGGCGAGGAGCGGAAGTCACGGTCGAAGAACTGCGATCAGCCAGTAGGAGCATGAGGGGAGTCCAGAGCAGGAGACAAGAAAGTCAAGCAGGAGGCAAGCAAAGGGAGAGGTAAGGAAAGGGAGGGGCCAGACTTGCTGGGAAGAAGGGGTCTGGAATTCCCCTGGTTGCCTGTCCCATGCCGTTCTCTCCTCTGCCCCTCACTTTCCCTTTCTCTTCCCTTCTTTTTCCTCCTCTTCTCTTCTCCTCTTCTCTTCTCCTCTTCTCTTCTCTTCTCTCTCCTTCTTCTTTCCAACCGCTCCTGTTTCTCATTTTTTACTCACCCTCCATGGGTAGTAGGTACGCTGTATCTGATCCTTGCACACCATGTCTGAGTACTGCATCTGATAATAGGCCATGAACTGTGCGTTCACGTGTTGTATTCGAGGGTGGACCTTGATACAAGCGTCGACGAACTGTATCCACTGAATAGCTGCGTTAAGAGGCACTCAAGCTAAGTGTTCATAGTCTGATGAGAATGCGATTTATAGTCCGCTGATTGGCTGTGCCGAGAGGCACTTGAACTGAGTATGCCGAATTATAGTCCGCTGATTGGCTGTGCCGAGAGGCACTTGGACTG